GAGAACGAAGAATCTCGCGCATCCCCTTCTGCGTGTACACGCGCGCCCGATTCATCCCCCTTCGTGGAAACGACGGGTACGACCTGGATTATTTCGATCTTCGCTCCTGCTAAAGTTAGCCGAAGAGATTACCGCGGCGCGACACGATTTCATCTAGCCAGAAAAGAGAGAAAGGGCGGTGTTCTACACTACCGTAAGTAGAACAGGGTGAGCGAAAGAGAGAAGAAGCGGATTGTGACGCGACACTACTACGTCGCTTAAATATCACGGTAAACAAGGTCCGTTGTAATTCGGATGCCGGCGCAGGTGCCACGCGGAAACATCTATCAAGATGGGACGAGATTGGGGGCGCGAGATACACCGGCCCGTGTTTCCCCGGCAAAGAGAAAGGGCGGAAGGAAAGAGAGACAAGGGCGGGAGAGTGGATCTCAACTCGAAGAAAACAGAAGGAGAAGGGTGGAAGATTTCCGCGGGACAGAAAGGACTAAAGCTTTCACGCGTTACGGCTCTCTCTTTCTCTTTCTCTCTCCGTGCCGTCTTAACCCTTTCCAGCTAATACCGGATCGCAGGGAATTAACGGCCGCGACGACGATCGTGTCCTCGGAAACCTCTCGCCAAAGTAACGCGCGGTCGGCTGTCTGTAATAATTCACCAGCCTCCGGAGGGTGACATCCGTGTGAAAATATTGTCTCGGGACTTTATCGAGAAACTATTGTTATCGCGAAACTTTTGGAATATCAGAAAAAGCGTGTGTAAATAATCACAATCGATACTCTCGGTATTGATTGGATACCACTTTTATCTCGACGCTGATTGAACGTTTCTCGAGAATGTGTTTCTCGATTCATGTCGTACAAATCAAGAGGCGCGGTAGTGCTTCTTATATGCGAAATTCATGCGATTGAGAAGTGAAGAGATTTTCATAGAGCAATATCACAGTACTCGTTAACACACAGAGAAACGGAACAAAGCATGAGACGGTCTTACAAACCATATATAACACACGTATGAGAGGTGTCAGAAATAACGCATGAAAATCACACTCGAAAAATAGAAAAAGAGAGAAGTGGAAAACTAACACGTGACTTTAAAAACGTGTTGTTTTCCCACTCCTTCCTCTTACTATTTTTTGAGTGTAATTTTCATGTGTCATTTCTGACATCTCTCACATGTGTATTATATGGTTTGTAAGACGTATATAAGCTGTCATCGCGGTGACAAATTTTTAACGTGTACACTGACACAACACGTTAAAATAAAAATAATAATAGCGTGCGCGTAGCGCGCACCTGTGTTGTGCTAGTAGAATAAAAAAAAAAAGTATTTCTCGCAAAAGCGCCATCTTCAATTTCTATATCTAACGAATCATTAATTTATAATGGAATGTAATTTTGTACATTCTAATGTTTTGGTTAATGAGATTCTCTCTCTCCAAAATAACGCGCAATTACTGTACAAGTTTATTAAAAAACAAAAAAAAACACACACACACACACAATTACAGTCACGGGAGAGAAAGGTAGAATTATGAGAAAATTATTAAAACATACACATGCGCGCTACATCATGTGCGCGCGTCATATGTCTATGATTTTATTTATATCTCGTAGAGATAGCGAATCGCGGAAAATTAAACGCAAGATATATACCTGCTTCGCCGTGTAATAATTTCGCCAGCGCCGGAAATATCGCGGTATTTGCCTTATCGAGAAACGAAGTATCATCGTGTTACGCAAGCGAAGAATCCACGATTTGCGTGGAGAGAATAACATGATTTTATTACAGTAAAATAAAGTAACGGGGGGACTCTCTTCTCTCTTTCCGTGCATCTGGAATAATTAACTTGGATGTTGTTGCGCAAGTGGAAGATTGTGACGGCAAAATTCCGTCTCGAGAGTAACAGATATACACGTGCTTGTGTGAATGTATTATTATTACGCGTAATTGCTGTGTGTGCGATAATTCGTTAATTGCTTGTCCATTACAGATATATGTGTACACGCGTGTGATATCATTTCGCGAACTACGTTACAGGATCCGTAAACTGCGTACGTCAAAGTAAGACCGTAAAGTGTGTTATCTCTCTCCGCGCGCTTGTTTCTCTTTTTCGACTTGTCGTCGCATTTAATCGCAACGTTCTACGCGAACGTTTCGTAATCGGCGTTCCGCGCCTTCTTCGTATTCGCCGAGATATCCGCGAACTGACAAGCGATTCGCGGGACGTAAAATACGCGTTGCGAGCCGTTAACGTAATCGCTGGCACGGTGTACTCTTATCGGTCCGCACCTGCGGACTATACAACGACGTCTTTACGAAATATCGTCTCGAAAGTCATCGTCGGAAAGTCAACAGTTTCCAAACTGCAGCTAATCGATTGTTTTGCAAAAATTAAACGTGCAACAAAAATAAAAACCAAATCGCGATGGATGTATCAGATATCAATAGCAAAGGATTTTAGTGTCGCAATATACAAAGTGTACACTGCAAAAAAAAAAAATAAAAAATATAACAGGCAATGAAAAACAGACACAAAGATAGAAATCTCGGAACCAGATACCTTCCATAACTGAACAAAAACGACCGGGAGGGGGGCAAAGATTGTCAGGAAAGTGTAGCGCGCGACTGACGGCCTAGATACGAAAATCGTAAAGCCGCGCTATACGTAACTATGTTATAGTTACCGGCACGGCACTTCGCGCTGAGATTAAAGGTGCATAAAACGAACGACGGCGGCGGCGGCGGCATAAACGCTTTACAAGCTCTTCGCCTTCGCAGTCGGGGAGAAACGGCGCGTAGCGAGATATTATTTTAAACGTTACGCGTAGCGCGCGCTATATCGTCGCCGCGTATATACGCGCCGGTCGACATTGTTAAGATGCGTTTGTGCTACGCGAGAGCACACACGAGATGGCCGGAGCGCGATGTAATATACAAGGAAAGGTAATTGAGAGCAAACGAACTAGTTCGCTCGGGTCGGCGGTGCTGCTCTCCGCGTCGTAAATCTACAGAAGAGCCTGACGCAAATTGGTTCTTCGAAAGCAAATGTTAATTCTTCCGAGCTGCGAGCTTTTAACTACAAAAAAAAAAAAAAAAAAAAAAATAAGATATAAATTTCGGAATGTGAGATGGCAAAAGATCCCGAGAACGTGATACCCCGTTCGAGATTGCTACCGCGCGTTCGCCGTTCTGTGTACGGCGCGAAACGCACGCTTTGCGCGAATGTAGGCCGCGTGAGAGAGCGAAGGAAAACAAGAACCGCCGCGCGCGAAACACGCCAGATATTGGAGGCACGCGGAATTTTTCGCGGCGCGCGGTCTAATCTAATAAATGTTTTCATAGACCGTAAAGAGGCTTTTTAGTGCGTTCGTGTAGATTCAACCGCGATAAAACAGACCGAAGTCGAAGGCATTTGCGCTCGGATGCGAAGCGGGAGTGAATTGTACGCGCGGGAAAGTGCGCGGGATTACGTCGTAAAGTTTTACGTAAGTAAGCCGCCGATATTTCCAATGATGCGGTCGAGAAACGCAAAATGTTTCCGATTACGTCCCGAGAACGATCTGGAATAAATTTCCTGTTATCGAACAAAAAAAAAACGTCGAAATGATCTCTTCTCGTTGTTAAACTTCGTCTGTTAAATGCAACGTGGAATTTAGTGCCTTTTACTTTCTTAATAACGGCGGTTGGTTTTACAACCCACTCGAGAGCTCACGCATAGCGCGACTCGCGCGTTTATTTTTTCGCGCAGTATATTTCTCCGAGTTTTTCAATCTCACTCGGTTATGAAACTCGGTTAGATAATACAATCCCATTTCGATTTTTTGTGTTTCTACAACAGATCGCGTTAATGATCGCGCGTAGCGTAATCAACTGTTCATTTTCGCGATATTAAATATCAACGGCGAGAAAGAAATTGCTTATGTGTATATACTTTCTGTAAAAATTGCAGTTATTATACCGTTATTATTACTCCGGTTCATTCTCTCTCTCTCTCTCCCTTTATACAGAAGTAATCTGCAAAATTTTATAAACGCGGAAATGTTTCTCTCTTCCGTTCGAAATATTTGCGCGACGACCGTTGCGACGCGACGAGCAAAACCGCGAATAATATATCGATGACGCACAAAGCGTCCAAACTCGAATTGAAAATTAAAGCGCTACGTGAAATCCGCCTCCCTCTCCCGCGTTGCAATCGAAGCTTCCTTGAGGTCACGGTATAAAACACACGAATTACGACACGATTGCGAAATTCAGCACGACCGCTCGCTGACACGCATATACGCCGCCTACCTCCGGCGTTTGTGCTCGCGTGATTGGCGCGCTGAAATAATCAGCTCGTTGCAACGTCAACGTTGCGCGATCGCAACGGACCCCAAACGCACGCCTCGTTCCGTTTGATATACGGGCGTAATTTCAGGGTGTCTGGAATTCGCATATGACACGTGCGACGTGCCGTATGATTCGACGCCCGTCCGACGCTCTCTCGTGCCCGACGATCTAGAAAAAGTTAGCTCGCTTGGCACGCATGCGACGCGCGCGCGCGCACAGCTTTTCGATCGGGAAGACCCGATCACGGGAGATAAATTTGTTTACACTCGCGAGAACACGCAAGAGAGTCGGGGCGCACACCCTATAAAATTTCAGATTATCGCAGTTCCCGCTGACAAATGTTTAGAGCGAGAAACTATGCGCTTTTTCCTCATAGTTTTCAACAATTTAGTTTTATTCCCGACGCGTATTTCAGACTTATCTTGCTTCTTGCGCGAGAAGATGTGCAAAGAGATTAAAACTAGCAAAAAAAAAAAACAAAAAACGTTACTTTTGATCAACGTTTTCGACGCGATGTTTTTTTTTTTTTTTTTGGTGCGAGATATAAGATAATCTGCAATTTTATTCGCGCCTCCGTAATGCGATAATTGACGCGGTGAAAATGAATTTCGCGCGAGATGTGTAAGTAAGATCCCTATCCCTAAAAAAAAAAACAGAACAACATGCTGCTTTACTCACCAGTTGTTGACTTGCAGAATCGTCAACCCCGTGTCCTGTGCCAGCTGTTTCTTTTGGTCTTCCGATGGGTACGGATGCTGCAAGCAAAAAAAGAAAAAATCCGCTCCATTAGCGATGAAATTGAGCGTGAACGATCTCTCGCGTACTTAAGTATTAACGATTGCCGTAACGCGAGTCAAAAACTCAAGCACCAATTAGCGAGAGACTACGGAGATGAGAGATCGCGATTATTAAATACTAGCCCTGGCGGAACGGTTTACCGTCGAGCGCAACAATTAGCGGACATAAAACGCGGGGATTGAAAAAAAAAAAAAAAAAAAAATTTTCTCTCTCTCTGACCGTTCGCATCGCCGTTTCACGTCTCGCCGACGAACGCGCGTGGCGAGCTTTCAAACAATTTATCGAGTGATTTATCGCGCACCAAGGTAAGTACACAGAGAGAGAGAGAGAGGAAGAGAGCGCGCAGTGCGCGCGGACTTTTATCTACGCGACGATCCAACGTATTACGGGCGCAGCGTCGTCTGGACGCACCTGCGAAATATTATTTATTGCTGGCCAACAACAACAATAAAAACAAAAAACAACGAAAACGCACGAAGAAGGGGTGGAGGAATGAGACGGCGATGTAGTAAAAAGTTCTCTTGTATATGTTACGCGCGTACGAGCGATCACATTTTATCGCGCGGTCGCATCGGCGCAGATGCGCTCGCGAAAAAGATCTGCTATCCGCGACACTGCACACCGCCGCTCGCGTATTCTCTTTCGTGAAAAAGAAACTTCACGAGAAAGAAAGAGAAAAAGAGAGAGAGAGAGAGAGAGAGAGAGAGAGGAAGAGAGCACCAAAGAAATACGAGCCGATATCGACAGGGGAGAGATCGACGAAAAACGAGGTGCAATGTGATCAACTCGTGATCACAAAGTTGCGCGCGTGGCACTTGGATTGTTTTCATTTTATTTAATTAGCGTGTGTTTTTCATGTATAGCTTAGAGTGTTGTGTGGAAGGATATTTGACTCTCTCTTTGACAAAATAGTGTTTACACAAACTCGCTAATTCGAAACAAAAACATTCAGGAGAAACATTACGATGTAAATCAGATCGCATTGTTTTGCGTTGGACGGAAAACTCTGACCTGAAGAAACTTTTATGTAGTTTGCGGAATAAAGTTCTGTTGTCCCGCGTTGTTACTTGCCAAACAGGTGAACAAGTTCGGATAGAGGAATTACACGTTCACTGGATACTTCATCGATCTTGTCGCGCGGGAGCGTATAAATTCAAGCGGCATTCTAGATGCTCATCCGGAGAAGTTACTGCGCGCATTAATATCACGCTCACAACAGGAGCCCAATCTTTCCGATGCGATTACGTATTCAACCCCGTGCCAAGCCGCTAAAAGATCTACGACACGCGCTCGATGTCGCGCACCTGCGCGTTATACGTCAAATCCAATATCTTTGTTCGCACGTGACATTAACCTTTGCGAGCAGCAAAGATCCAAAAACGTATTCCCCTTGTTGAACGTCATCGGTCTCCGCGTTAAATAATTCATCGCTTCTTGTTGAAATCACAATGAAATTGTTGACACATACGGTTCGTCATAATCAGCGCGCAAAATTAATTAAAACGGAAAAAGAAAAAAATACAAACAGCGTGTGCTCTTAAAATCTTTCTCGCAATCTTTAATAAGCGTGTCTCTCGACGAGCACTGAGGAAAAAAAAAAAGTGTACACGCGATGCGGCGAAAAGCACCGCACCGGCCCTCAATTACATTACACCTAGCGAGACGTATTAATTCTGCGGGCGTGTTGGGAGTAACATCTCAATTTTAATCTCGCATTAACCGCAATTATGAAATTAGACGCACGTAATCGTCACAAGTAAATAGTCCGCCGACAGTTGCGTTCCCAGCGGAGACGTTCCGTCCGAAGACGATCTATCCACGACACGCGATAGACGTATCAGGTAATTTTCTCAATGTAAGTTAGGAAGAGCGAATTATTCAGCTTGCTTTAAAAAAATAATCTACAATCAAGAAAGCACCGTTGTACATAAAGACAAATCATTCTTTCTCTTTCTCTTTCTCTCTCTCTCTCTCTCTCATTACGAGTCGACGTAATTTTACGATACGCGTTAAGTTCGACGTAAACTCGCAGCGTTATAACTGCGCTTGGTCTGCGCCAGCAAGCTGTGTAACGAAAAGATCCGGCTGCGCATAAAAGCCCGCGGCTGCACCGCAAGCGGGCGAACCGCATCATATTTTTACATAATTAGCACGTGGCGCCCGCGGTATTGCGTTTCCCCGCTTTCTTCTCCTCCTCCTCCTCAATCCTTCGATCGTTACTTTTTGCCAAAGCCTGCGGTATTTTTGGAAACCGCGCCGCAGCACGCAGATCATCCCCCGGTGCGTCCCCCTGCCGCCCCTTTCTCGACGACCGACGCTGTATCATGTTTCTTGGAGGCGAGCCACGGGGTATACATACATCAGAAGCGTGGCTCCGACCATCCACCCTCTTCCCCCCCCCTCCCCCGTCAGTGCACCCTATTGTACGCCGGTGTATATCCGATCCGAGCGATTCTTATCCTAATTAAATCGGTCGAGCGCATTGTCTGGGCGTAGAGTTTCCATCGGATCTCCGCGGATATCTAACGCCGCGTATAAAGCCACGTCGAGAGGAGGATTGAGACGATCGCGCGCGCGCGGACGGACGGGCCTCACGGGAGAACCGATCCAGCCGCGGATCGATGCGCGCTAAATTGCAGATATTCGACGCGATCGACACGCGCGCCTCGACTGCGGAATATATATCGGCGACAGGCCGATTGGCACCAAGGTATGCGGGCTTCACTCGATTATCGAGATTCGAATCGACCATGTCTATCGGTTAATTTCCCCTTACGTATAACGGAACACGCGGGTGATGAAAAGTCGGACGTGTTCCGCGCGGGGACTCGCGTCAGCGTGTATCGGAGTGTAACGCAAGCGAGCGAATACACACGCGCGCGCATAATTCTTGACGCTGAGAGAGACTCGCACACGAATATATTTAACGATTAAGTGTACGTTTAACGACAACGATGACGTGTGTGTGTGTGTGTGTTGCGTTTATTTGAGTAAAAATCGTTAAATTTGCGGAACAAACGTAATGTAATAACGATCGCCTGTCCGTGACACTTCGTCGCGACGCACACACGTCGATCAATGATGTATGAGCAACGAATTATGGAAATAAGCGATATATTCGGTGAAGCGATACCGCAGTTTCCCTTTACGGTTCCGGCTTCTCCGAGGAGATAAGTTGCCCGTGGGTTCGTTGGTGTATGCATAAAACAATCAAGATAATTGTCGAAGCTACGTGGGGGACTGGCTGGCTGCCTTCCACCCTACGCGCGATTCGAGATAGTTGCTGGAAGCGAAGGAGAAAGCGGGGGCCCGAGGGAGGGAGATGGAAAGCAGGAGCTATCCAATTACATTGAAAACAATAGTCTTAAGTGCTCGTGGCGGTCCGTTCTGGCGGGCTACCTCCCCTGACTCCGCGCCGCGATGCTTTTCCACGAGGGTTTCCCGTTCCCTTCCGGGGGAACTGCGCGCGTTACGCCCGTGACGACGCGTACGTTTGATTCCGAAAAAAAAAAAAAAAAAAAAAAAAAATAAAGAAGAAGACACCGTCTGCGGAATACTGCATGAGATGGCATACTTTCCGACCGTTTCTTGGATGCTCTCCATTGCATCGCGCTGTAATTTCCAAATGTGAGACCACTTATTATATTACCTTATCGCTTTTTAAACATCTCGGAAAATAATGCGTCAGCGAGAGACAGCTTGCGTTTACTTTTATTTAAAATTAAAGACAATGTAAAAAAAAAAGAAAAAATAATAATCAAAAATACCGAAACACAACCTGCTCGTTAAGTGCTCGATTTCATCTCTTCATCGAATACAAATCCGGGAGGACACGGAGGAAGAGAACGGGAGAAAAGGCGGAAGCGACGAGAATGAAAACGTGTCGCGCGACGGCAAGAGCCGACGGCACGGACTCGGTGGCCAAACAAGCGATAAAATGAAAATGAGCGGTAAAAAGACAATATGAAAACCATTTAGGTTCTCCCGAGGGCTGGGGTAGGAACGAGCCAGGCGGAAGCGGGGCTAAGTGTGTAAATGAGTCCGTAGTTTAGCCCGATTGCCTCTAGACGACCCCTTTCCGCGGCGCGCTAACCTCATCCACCGGCCCGCCACCCTGATAGCAGTTACCGACGGTAGCTGAAATAACCGTAGTCTTCCTGAGGAGCAAACTGCTCCCTAAGACAATTCTCGAGACAATGAGATCGTTCGTAGCCCGAATTCAAATCAGTACAAATAGACGATGGATTAAATGTCTGTATTAGATGCGGGACCATTTCCCGAATTGATAGCCAAACCCCCGACGCGCCCCATCTTCGGAATTATTCAATTACGCCGCGCTAGATTGAATAATGCATTCGAGCTTATCAATATAACGTGAAACATAACCGTAACCCACTTACTCTTATTGTTTACAAAAAAAAAACCAGACTGTACCAAATTGATACATGTTTTTTAATTGTATGTAAATTCTCGCTATCGTAATCAGATCAATTTGCATAAACAATCGGAGCGTCTCTCGCGTTTCGTCCCTCGTCCCGGTGCTATCCGCACATTGCTCGACGATCTCGCAATGTTCCCGCGAGCGTGACAATTTGCTGGCGCATCGGTTCGACGACGGGAACCGCGCGCGTGCTGCGTCAGGCCATCGATGCCAGAACGGGTGGATGGATGCAGCACGTTGGTTGCTGCTCTTCCCTGGTCTCGTGTCTCTTCGTGTCCTTCGTCGTTCCGGGATGTTACCCCATCCCGCGGTAACCCTGAGCGCTATCTCGCTCACTCTCTCTCTTTCTCTCTCTCTCTCTCTCTCCCTTTCGGTGCCGAATGACACGTCGATGACGACCGCTGCTGACTCCGACTAACGAGCGGGGCGTTGGGGGCGTGGGAGCCACCAGAGATCGCGCCTCGTCATCACGCGTCTGGGTTTCCCCTCTTCCGCCTCGCGTCCGGAGAATTCATG